AGGGGTGGAAAGCGATGGCGGAGGCTCTTCTGTTCTCTTACCGAAGATGGGCCCCCTCATCTTACACACTTGCAGCCCGGCTGCGGTGCAGGCCCGTAAGGGCCTGTGGCTGCGGGGCGGGTGGGGAGCTGCCGTGGGAGACGTCCGTCCCCCGTCCAGGCCTTGGCGATGCGGCACGGCACGGCTTGGGGGAACCCACTGGATGGAGACAGCGCGGTGCTGGCTAAAGGCCAACAGAGTTCTTTTATCACAGCGTAATCCAAACAGCGTGAAAGAAGCGGCAAATCTTCAGCATCTAAAGAAGGTGTAAAATTGCAATGGTGCGCAAAAACCAGGGTAGCATTAAATTAGGAGCAATGAAGGAAGTTTTTTAGAAGGCCATGGGTAGAAAGCTATCTGCAGTGAAGCTTACAGGCAGGGCTGAAGAGTCCCACCAGAAAATTAATGGCAGATCCAGGATTTCATCTAGAAGGCTGTCATACATTGCTGTGATCAAATCACTCCATTGCCCATGCAGTAACTAAAACTCACTATTCTGTGTAATTAACCTATTGCTGGTTTGTCTGTGTATATATATGTCTACACCATACTCAAACTAGGCATGTCAAGATATTATAAACCATACTGTAAATAGCAACTCTATTTTAGCAAGCTGATTACGTGCTGAATTTATTCAGTGGAAGCATCTTTAGCTGTGACTGTCAAAGAGAGCCTCATCTGACACTTTTTTATACTCATTTAATTTACATGCCCCAAGTACATAGCTTTTGATTTTTCCAGTAGGCAGGGTTTTTGGTCTTTAACAGCATAACAGTAAATAATAAATTGGAATAATTTTCTCTTCCAAATTCTGCAACATATCAGTTGTGATATTAAAGCGAGGTACAGTTACAGTAAAACACAAAGCTAACTATGCTTTTCCCACCTCGAATCACTGCATTCACTGTCGTTGCAAAGACTTTGTCATAGTTATTCCAACAGACCTCAAACAGCAAGTACAACAAGTGCACGTACACCCGTTCAAAACACAAAAAGGTTGGGGCACTTCCTCAGACATTTGAGCATACCAGTTCATTAGGCTCAGTCAGATCAACACTGTTTTTTGATTTCTTTTTGGTGAGTTTTGCCCCGGGTTTTGGATACTTTTCCTTGCTATGAATGACCTGGATATACTGGTCGTTGCTGCTGTTCTGCGGATCACTGCTGGATTCAATGGAAATGGAATCAGACTCTGTTAGAGATTGCTCCAGCTTCTGCTTTGATTTTGGTTTCACACGTGGCTCGGGATAGTTCAGGTGCACTTTCTTGTAAGCGTATGGAGGCCTGTCCAGGTCTAGCTCAAAACCGTCGTCCCAGGATTTGTAATGCACTCTGGCTAGATCTTTGCTTGTAAGAATGTGGCCATCAGCACGTTCCCCAATGTAAAATCTTGGTGCTGGGCGAAGATCAGACAGTGAGCGAGGGCGGTGGGATCTGTTAATGAATTCTCTCCCGAGTTCCTCTTCATCCTCCTCATCTTCACTGGGATGAGGGGAATACATCTGGTGTGGTGTTCGAACCACGTATCTTCTGACGTTGCGTGGATACAACTCAATAACGTCTCCCGATTCGTCTTTTCTGAAGTGCCTTTGGAGTCGGGAGGTAGAACGATGCGATTTTTTGCGGGACTCATTTTCATTAACAACAAAATACCTGGTAGCATATGGTCTACGTCCCACAAAACCAGGAGCCCCTGCCCCAAGAGCATCCGGATTTACCTGCCGAATGCCTTTTCTGAAGAGAGGCTCAGAATGAACATCTTCAGTGTGCTTTTTGAAAGTCGCTGGTGTGTAGGGCTTTGCTTTACAGAGCTCACTTGCAGTCCCATGTACAACGCTCGGGTACCTTCAGGAAGGAAATAATCAGAGTTACACTCATCTATCAGTCTAATTTGTACATATACAAAATTCATTGCTCTGGAAGTCAAACACTAGATTGTAAAGGTGGAGATTATGGAATCTCCATTGTTGCAAATTTTTAGGACCATTTTGAGAAACATACCCCAGAAATTATTAGTTACATTTGTTCTTCCTTGAGAAAAGGCAGCAGACAATTCACCTCTCGGGTTATGTTCCCGTTCTGTTTTCTTATTATTCTGGGAACTGTTTAAAAATGCTCTTTTTATCTGATCGCTTGGACAAAACCAGGTAGCTTAAAGCATTAGTTTGCTGTCTGGACCAACATGTCCAAGACTGGTTGCCCTACAGCTAGACATGTACAGGCAATTCTGCACGGGTCCTTCACTGTGTTTGTCTTGTTCATGGAAACAGTATCCTGCACAAACTATTTTAGTTATATGCCAGAGAGGAAGCTTAGTATTTACCTTTCCTTGGGGTGTGTGTAAACTCTATCAACTACATCATATCAAAAGTTTCATAATCCCATCGCAATTAAGGGAGAGTTAAGGAAGTGGTGCACTCTGAATAGTGCCCATGAATTAATCTGCTTTTTAAAAATTCCTCAGCCGTTCTACTGCTCCAGACAGTCTGAATACACTGCTATTTTGTAAACAAACACAGGTATATCAGGGAGCTGCTGGAAGAAATGCAATTTCAAAACCAAAGCAGTCAGTCTTGCCTGTTTGTGATATGATCATTTCTTGCTTTCTGCACACTTGATACTGATGGAGCTGGCGTTAATGAGGTGGAAGTTGTGGGAGTTGCGTTGACAGGTCTTGCAACATCAGTTGAGGGCACAGTTTGGGGCACAGACTGGGAAATGGTTTGTATTCTGGTGCCTTTGCTCACAGGGGATTCAAAGTTCAAGACACTGCCATTCTTTCGGGGAGTTGAGGACCGAACAGAAGACTCCTGGCTGATAATATCAGTTTCTTGCTCTGGCCTCTTGTCATTCCCATCCAGCTTTTGGATTCTGGCTAGAAAACAGAAATTATTACAGGAACTGTCCAGGCCTCTAAATTTAGAAGCTGCTGCGTAAATGCAGTGGCTGAAATTCACCCTTCAGTCAGGGGATCCAATGCTAATAGAACCCCACTGCATTCACAAAAGAGAAACTGGTGTCACGCTGGGACATGTGGTGATAAAGGGGTGGATTGGCATACTACGGTACATAGCAGATGTAGTATTGAGGAACACAGAAAAAACACTGGACATTGCACCGTAGGATTCCAAAATAGGCAACAAGCCAGTGTCTCTTTTCAAGGGCCCCATTCTAGTTCACAATGTACACCACTACCAACGTGAAGGTGGCTGAATTCAGCAAACTGGCTCTGGTGACTGTGCTGGTCACAGCCAAAAGCTGAATTTGGTTTCCGTAACAAAGGAAATCCAACTAGGACACATACCTCATTGCCTGTAATAGTCACTCCTGGTCACTATATTGCTATGCATCAGGTATTTCACCATTATGTGTCCGCTGGAGAGCTATAAGGCAGTCACAGTAGCATTAAGATCTAGCCATAGGCTACTGAATCATGTCTTCTCTTTGGCTAGGCAAATTTTTACTTGGTCCTTTCATTGGGAGGTATTAGAAGGACAGCATCCTTTCTGTGGTTTCTCATAGCTAAAATCTGAGAAGTGGAAGGTGCAGGTTTCAAATTCCCTCAGGCATAGTAGACAGTTAAGTCTGAAATCTTTTCATTGCTGTGGAAATATTCAACCACCTCAGGTCAAAGAATAGGGGCCATGCCCTTCCTCCTTGTCTGCCTGCTGCCCTCTGAATTTTATGCAAAGTCTGACATGATTTGAATCAGAGATGCCTCCCAGGTTCTGCCTGGTAAAAGCAGGAAAATACCCAGTCCAAAGATCCCAGCAGAATTTAGGTTTAAACTACACACCTTGTCTTTCAGTTCGGCCAAGATTAAGTCCAGTGAGCTCAAAAAACATCTAAAAGGAGGACTCACAGGAAATACAGTTTTTTAAATGTAGTTGAACTTCCCTGTGTGTATGAGAAATCAAAATGGTTTTGCGTCTAAGTGCTTTATTAATAGAGGCATTTCTAAAGCTCACCAACTTACCTACTGCCATCTGAACCACCTTTTTCTTATCTTCAGTTCTTTCCTAAAATACATTCAGAAGAATGAAAAGCAGTACGTTATTATGGATTAGAGAGTAAATCCACTGCTGTGTAAGGATGATAAACACAGGATTGGTTTTACGTTGTGGAACACTGAAAGTGACTTCAGAGATTTAATTAGGCGAGTACTTTCCTGAAGACCCACCAAATTGCACGTGAAAGTGCTTTGAAATGTACTTACTGTTTGGATCTTCATTCTCAGTTGATTGTTGGTGAATTTTAATGATCTCGCAATACTTTGTAGGTAATAGATTAGCATGCTAGAAGTGAAAGAGGTGATTATGAGTCACATCAAACATTCTTGACAGTTTTCTCTTTGAGGTTTTATGGGTCATCAAAATGATGTACAGGTTCAGGTGCTGCTTTGTAGCATTTGCTTTATACCGTGATAATGGATCACAACCTTTTTTCAAGCAAACATACATGAAAGGAAAAAATAAATGACACTGAAAACAGATTAACAGCAGTTCTAGTTGCGCCTGTGTTTTTTTTGCAGGTCTTTTCATTGGGCATGTAACCCTGTGTGCATTTCTAGCTTACGTGCTGCACATGCTCAAAATGAAAATTTTGATAAATATTTTTTGTCTTTTTTTCCCAGTCCAAGGTTACAGAACAGAGACGCCAGAATTGCAGCTGAGTTTGCACACTCATACCAATGTAATTTTGTTGACCGACTGGAATAAAACCTTGTTTACACTGGCACAGCCGAGGTCGGATCTGGCCTGACACAATGGATTATGCTGGCTTTCAGACGAAGTAAAATCTTATAGGTGGGCTTCATACCACAAACATTTACATAGGTGCTTAGCCATTGGTTTGAAGCAGTCAAAAGATCTATTTAAATTTGTAAATATGTTCACATTTACACGGCTGGGACCTTAGAGGAAAAAGTTACAGTTAGGAAGGATGGCTTCAGTCTTTTTGATTTGTCTGAAAAGTCCACTGGTGGGACAAACTCTGCATTTGTCTGTAGTTTACAGGGGAAAAAATGATACAAAGGTACGCACAAGACAAATGATACTTCATAGAGCAAAGTGAATTTCAAGCAGCTCAAAGTAAGAATTAATTCCCAGCTGTAAATGATTATTTAGAAACTAGAGTAAGAAGGGACTTCTACTGGAAAGTCTGCAGCAAGTTATATTACATTAACACTTCAGAGCAGACCTTTGTAATTGATTTATCTTGTCAGAAATCAGGATGACTGGGTAGCTTCTTTAAATGATGGTCTGAGCCCTGTTCACAGTCATAAAGTGAACTAATGACCATGAGGAAGTGGAATGTTAATTTCTGAGGAGCTCTTGAGAGGGAAGAAGGATCTTAAATCTTCCTGGAACCAGCAGCACTGCAAGACTTGACACAATATAGTGAACTTGCTCTAACGTGGTTTCCCAGAACAAGAAATTCCTATTGAAAATGTGATGACAGTCTTTTTAACATACTCTCGTTCATCTGATCTATATACTGTATATTCAATAAGGTGGGTTTTTTTCAGATACGCTTAATAAAATTACAGCAATGCAGTGTTTGTT